ATAATAATAATAATGGAGTGTGGTGGTGCATACCTGTAATCCCAGCTACTTGGGAGGCTGAGATAGGAAACAGTCAAAATTAAAGTCCAGCCTGGGAAATTTAGCAAGACCCTGCCTCACTGGGGATGTAGCTCAGTGGTAGAGCACTTGTCTAGCATGTGTTCACATACCGTTCATATACCCTGAGTTCAATACCGAGCATTACAATAAATAAATACAACACAATATAAATGCTTAACTGAGACATAGTTTTAGTTTTGTTCCTAATCTAACAAATAAGCAAATTTACTGTCAGAATGCTTACTAACTGCAGAACTTAGTCAAACAGCTGGACTCTTAAATGTTTCATTTTTTCTTGTCAACAAGCTGTTGAAGCAGCATGCACAGTGATCTATGTATTTCACAAACAAGGGCTAACAAAAGTGTTTGCACAGGTAGGATAGAGGCTTATGCAGAATACTTAACATCCAAAATGGAAATGTAATGCACACCCTAAGAGACACCAATATTCAATGGATACAACTCTTCACTGCTCACCAGTTTTTTTCCTAACCATAAACAGAGTGTAAGACAACTGGGAACATGCAGGAATGTTTTGAAGTACTCATCAGAAAGCAAAAATGAAAAATATTTTGTGATTCTTTAAATTGAAAATGTTTTCCTCCTTTATCTTAGTTGATGGTGGGTCTATCTAAATTAAATTTCAGACTGTTCAATAAAAGCTAAAATTAAAAATTAATTATTGGGGGCTGGGGAATGGCTCAGTAGGATAAGTGCTTGACTGGCAAACGCAAGGATCTGAGTTCAATCCCCGGTTCCACCAAAAAAAAAAAAAAAAAAAAAAAAAAAAAAAAAAAAAAAAAAAAAAAAAAAAAATTAATTATTGGTCTTCAACTACATTGTCATGCATGAGTTATCTCAAGAGATACATTTATTATTTTGGGTGTCTAATGTTTTAACCAGAAATCAAAAGATTAGTTACTTTATGAAATAAGTTATGGCAATTAAATATTTAAAAGGAGAAACAGAATGAACTTGTGGTTATGATTCAAAACTATTTAAAGCAACTAAATAAATGTTAAATATACATGAATATTAAGTAAACATGGAAATGCACCTGTATTTCTCTTTGGGGAAGAAGTATATTCATTGTCAGTAGGGAAGCTTTAAAAAACTTTCACACATTTCTTCTCTTCTACTCCACACTATTCCTCAAGCTAAGCTACAGAGTCAGGGTGGAGGCATGGTTCTGTGTAAATTTAACAGATTTCTATCCTTCTCCTATCACTGAGCTACTTCTTCAAAAAGTTTGTTTTAAAAACAGAAGGAGAGGGGGCTGGTGAGATGGCTCAGTGGTCTAAAGCACCTGCTTAGAACAAGCTTAGCAAAGCACAGGGACTGCGGTTCAATCCCCCAGCACCACATGCCAGCCAGCCCCGCCCTCTGGTGGGCTGAGCTGGCCACACACACACACACACACACACACACACACAAATAAATAAAATTTAAAAAAAAGAAAAAAAAAACAGAAGGAGATCCACTCAGACCCAGAAGTACTCTCCCAATCAATGGCAGTCACTAAGCAAGATGATAACCGCTTCCCTCTGGTGTTCTCTTCAGAGCATTACATGCACCGCTGATCTGTGCAGAGCCTTCCCTAAGGCTCATCACAGCTTCCTGAGCTCCAGCTGTCCAGGCACCATTGCAGTGAAAAAAATGGAAAGGAGAAGCTCAACCAAGCAGGGACGCATAGAATTCTCTTCTGCTCAAAAACATTTTATAGTTTCCAGAATCTCTCAAATATTTAGTTACAAATCTAGTTCTCTAAGCAGAGCTACAAGTGTTTTTTTTTTTTTTTTTTTTTATATGTAGGAACAACATCATAAATATTTATGCAACTAATCAATTTATTCAACAAATAATGAGTACCTACTATATACTATGTTAGGTACTAAGAAAACAACTAAACAAGTAATAATTCCTTATCTTATGGAACTTATATTCAAATGTACAAGGAAGGCTTCATGTTAACTCACCTTAAAATTTTGAAACAGCCTGTTCTACATTACTGAATTTCATTTTTAGCATTTAACACCAAGATAAAAATACTTCTGATTTATTTATTTATTTTTAGTTAGTTTTTTTTTTTTTTTAGGAACCGGGGATTGAACTCAGGCCCTTGTGCTTACCAGGGAAGCGCTTATTCTACTGAGCTATCTCCCTAGTCCAATACTTCTGATTTAAATGCTTATCTTCTCCCGGTACTGCTTGCAATGGTGCTTAAGGCAGAGTAGATATTCCATAAATACTTGCTAATAAGTAAGTGTACAAGTTCAGTATAAATCTTACAAAATGAAGCAAACTCCTTGAGAAAGAGATATAAAGTAGAGATTATAGATACCTCTATGTAACTATAAAATAGAAACAAATGTACTATTTATCAAGGGTGAATCTTGAAATTCTCAGGCATTTGTTTTTCACCTTATGTAAGTGATAACAGCCTAGAATAAGGCAGTATGGCAGGATAGGAACAGACAAAATGTACTATGGCTCCTAAACATGATCAAATTATAATTATGGCTATAAATATACCTGTAATACGCATGGTTATAAAACAGAACCAAAAAGATGAATAGGTATGATTCTAGAATTTGTGTGAAAAAAGCCAATTAATCAGAACAGAACCCATACAATCCTAGATTAATTCTTTCTAGATTATCAGAAACCTAGAGGTATTATCTCAGCAACAGGCCTCACATGTAATAAATCCCTATTGCTAAGGGGAGCCCTCCATTATTTAATTTACTAAGTGATCAAAGAAGCTCCATAAATACAAGTTGCTATCCATTGCCATTATTCTCAATCCAATTACTATATAAATTTTACTCAATAAGAGAAAATCTAATTGTGTCTTTACAATTCAAGAAGATTCTGTACGCAGAACACAACTTCTGTACAAGAAAAGTAAGTGGTAACTAAAACAGAAAATTAAGAACTCTAAGGAACAACAAGTTTGGAAAGGAGAAGTGGAAATTTATATCATGACCTTCAAGTCATTTAGTAGAAGATGACACAAGACAGGACATAAGTAGGTAAAGATAAAGACACACAGAGGGGTAATCATATTTAATGCCATTTTTTATCCCTTGACAGTCTTGACACCTGTGTTCCTAAACTGCCCCTGTTTGGACCATCACCAGGTAACCTGCATGATGGAGTGCAGAGGTCTTGGCGCCTATGTTCACAGAACTGGGTTTGTACTTTGACCACTTACTATGCATGTGGTTATGGAAATTATTTCTAGTTCCTCAGCTTTATAACTGTTTCACTTGTGAGAATTAAATGTGATCATGTTTTTCAAACATTTGACAGAATCCTGATGCTCTGCACATGCTTGGTAAGTGTCAGTATTGTTCTACTAAGAAAGTTTTGTGCTCTGTAGCACACACATACTCATCCCTTATTTTGTGAAGAAAATAATTCTTTTCACAGTTAACATCCCCATCTTGTGACCTTTTAAGGTACTGTTGACAAAAGAATTTTTATAGTTATGTTATACTTTTGCAACTCATACATACTGCTGTTATAGAAAGCTGATCTGACCAAGGCTGAAGTCAGGAGATCTCCTGCCTGTGACAGAATATCTAAAATTCACAAAAGTAGGATTTACAGTACTATTACTTAATTTAAGAGCAAAGAAACAGTCCAGGCTCTCTGCTCCTGCACGCCTGGCAACAGCCGTATTTCCCATGCAGCCAGCAGTGATCCAGACAAGATGAAGATTGGAGTGAATGGATTTGGCTGTATTGGACGCCTGGTCACCAGGGCTGTTAACTCTGGCAAGGTGGATGTTGCAGCCATCAACGACTCCTTCACTGGCCTCAACTACCTGGTCTACATGTTCCAGTACAATTCCACCCACGGCAAGTTCCATGGCACTGTCAAGGCTGAGAATGGGAAGATCGTCATCAACGGAAAGGCCATCACCATCTTCCAAGAGCAAGATCCTGCCAAAATCAAGTGGGGTAATGCTGGTGCTGAGTACTTGGTAGAGTCCACTGGTATCTTCACCACCATGGAGAAAGCTGGGGTTCACCTGAAGGGTGGTGCCAAAAGGGTTATCATCTCTGCCCCTTTCATCCCCATGTTTGTGATGGGTGTGAATCACAAGAAGTATGACAACTCCCTCAAGACTGTCAGCAATGCTTCCTATACCACCAACTGCTTAGCCCCACTGGCTAAGGTCATCCATAATAACTCTGGTATCGTGGAGGGACTCATGACCGTAGTCCATACCATTACTGCCACCCAGAAGACTGTGGATGGACCCTCTGGGAAGCTGTGGTGTGATGGCCGTGGGGCTGCCCAGAACATTATCCCTGCATGCACTGGTGCCACCAAGGCCATGGGCAAGGTCATTCCAGAGCTGAATGGGAAGCTCACAGTCATGGCCTTCCTCTGTGCCCACTCCTAATGTGTCACTGGTAGATCTGACCTGTCTCTTGGACAAAGTGGTTAAATAGGATGACATCAAGAAGGTGGTGAAGCAGGCATCAGATGGGACCCTCAAAGGTATCCTGGGCTACACCGAGGACCAGGTTGTGTATTGTGGACTTCAACAGTGACACTCCTCCACCTTTGACACTGGGACTGGCACTGCCATGAATGACCACTTTACCAAACTCATTTCCTGACATGACAAGGAGTTCAGCTATAGCAACAGGGTGGTGGATCTCATGGTCTACATAGCCTCCAAGGAGTAAGTGCCCCCCAAATAGCCAGCAAGACCAGAGGGACAGAGTGGCCATGCTGCAGAAGTCACTGCCCTACTCAGCCTCAACACTGAGAATCTCTCCCTTACAGCTTCCATCCCAAGCCCCTTAGAAGGGCAGGGGCCTCAGGAGCCCTGGCTTGCTGCCATTGTACACCATCCATAAAGCCCACTGTTTCCCCCCAAAAAAAGAAACATTCCAAAGAGAATTATAAATTCTACATAGTCATATGAATATTTAAAATATTTCCCCCAAAATATTCCCTGAAAAGTGATGCTGGGCATTTTTTTGTGTATTAATCTGTCATCAAGATTAACAGTGTCCAAATTTAAATAAAGGTATGTTGCTGATCAATACAGCTAAGAAATGCCCTATGCTGAAATGTCACAAATTTTAAGTGGTGATAACGGTATCTTAAGACACTGACCAATGTGGCCCACTGACTAGTGCCAGGGAGTTTTCCTTAGCAAGTGGTGTGGTAAGTTGTTCTCTGTTATCTTGGGTACACTGATGAGTCAGGTCCTGACTAGAAAGACACTCATGAGGTTGAACCATCAAGGTTTAATCTGTGCATTTGATCACTAACTTCTAACTAAACCTGGCCAGCTCTCAGCTCTATTTTTTTTAAGTTCTGTGATCACCAAATTAATATATATATATTTATCTGTGCATGAGTCATTCTTATATAGTCACACTCTGTAATGGCTTCTTAGCATAACTGATGATAGTCTTAGGGTTCAGCTGGAAAAATCATACTCGAAAGACCCCATAGGTCATACTCTACTAGTAGGCTCACCATGCAGAAGGGTATCAGACAAGACAACCACCAAATGTGTCCTCAGTGGGTTCTCCTCAGTAGTGATGGCTTAGGTATAAGAGAATAAGACCACTAGGTGGATACAAAAGCCAGTGGCTCAGTGCAGGGCAATGGCTTGGCCATTACACATTAGTGCCCTTGCAGACACCCACATAGGCCATATGTCTTGTGAATGCTCTAGAACCCTGACAGAAGCCCATTGAGGATACCTCCTTCTAACCACCAATGTCAATCTAGGAAACTGTCAGAGACAGTTTAGCACTGTTAGGTACTGGTAAGTATGAACTTTCAGTAGCTAACATCTGTAGACTGCAAAAATCACTTAGCTGACAACTCTTGTTGCATAGGTCCTGCTTTACCTTGGTCTTAACCATCCAGCAGAAAAGTATGAAGTCGAAATATAAGAAATAAAGCCATGCTGTTGGGT